CGTGGGGCTCGGTGCCGCTCGGGGAGAAGCCGTGCTCTGTGCCCGCTGGCCAGATGTTCCAGATGTGCCGTTAGCCCAGTAGAGCTGAAGCGGAACGGCAGTCATCCTTTTTTCCTCGTCCTCTGTAGCGCGATTACAAGTTCAGAAAGGAAGCTTTTACAGTTACAAGTTCAGAAGGGAAACTTCTGAATACAGGTAAGTAACTTGCAAAACTATTTCATTTCTCTTAATTCTTTCTCTTTTGAAGGCCAGATGCAGAAGCCAGCCAAAGTTCTCAGTACAGTTTTGAATCGCTACCCCAGAAGATTTGCCTTATCTGCGGTGATGAGGCTTCTGGTTGCCATTACGGAGTTCTTACCTGTGGAAGTTGTAAAGTCTTCTTTAAAAGGGCAATGGAAGGTACTATATGATGCCATTGTTCACCGTTATCTGCAGTCTATCTCTCCAGGCATTGCTAAGGACATGCTGTTTATTTATTGCCAATGTTTAAAAGTATTATCGCCATAGTCATGTTTTTTTGTTTTGGCAACTTTGAATATTACAGTGAATACTGACTAAATTCGTTCTTAGTTGATTTTGCTAGTATTATTTGTTTTACTTTAATTACTTGCTGTTTGTTATTTACTGTTTATCATTCTTTCAGAATGGACAGAGTGATAAAAATCTTTTGTGTTACACAATTTGTTGAAAAAAGTGCGAATGCTATTCAGAGGAAAATGTTGGGGTATGAATTAATGATAAGCAGATAAGCATTTATTTTGACTTTGAAATCGTGGAGTTTTTCTTGCTTGCAAGATGCAGAACTTGGCTTCCTGAAAGTTACAGAAGTATTTCCAATGAACTATTTCAAACCACAGCTAAAGCCATATTGCATATATTTTTAAAATTGCAAAGTGAAGCTGCAGGTTTAATAAATCAGTAGAAATGGCTACTTTTTTTCTTTTTGGATTGTATTATATACGTTGTCCACTGAGATTTTAAATATGAATACAGGAGCAGATTGCTTTGTTTAGTTCAACTGATGAACCAGTAAACCAAATTCTTCTACATTTTATGATTTGTCTCCTTTTCTGATTTTTATCTGATCCTGTCAGAACTAGGTTTTTCAAATTTTTCCTTCATATACTTGACAAAACCGTTGTTACAATGTATAAAATTCCTTAAAAATAATTGCATCCTGTATTTTTTTGTTGTGATTCATTGTTTATTCAACTTTATAATTGCCCTTGAAATGAAAAAGGGAATATTGGAAAATTAAAAACTTCACGAGATAATATAGTTAGATTTTTTGTTTCTGCTTTCAGCATACGCTTCTATTCTACTTTTAATATACGAGGTGCCTGAAAGATGGTAGCGCTAGGCTAGGTGGGCTGCCTGAACTTCTGAGCTAGTGCCGCATTTTCTCTAATACATTTTATGAGATTCATGAGAAAGCTGTTAGAAACATACATATTAGGCTGCAAGGAAAACACTTGGCTCTGAAGTCACCTACAGGAATACGTTTAAGTTTCACTGACTCTGCTAACTGGTCTCTTGGTTTGGCTTTGCATTTTTTGCTGTTTGTTTTGGAAAATCAGCAATATGCTTAAAAAAAAAGTCAGGGAGCTGACATTTTAAGAATGAGTGTAGTGTAATTCACGGGTGCCGTATTTTAAAATAAGTTTTATTCTTCGCCTTTCACTTATGTAGTAATGCTTTTTTATTTGGATTTGATTCTATCACTTTTGCATTTCATCGTCTTCCTAAATTAGTATTGAATTGTGTGTGCACTAGGTGAACCTGCTCAAAACCGTATCTTATTACTGTTCAGCATAAATATTTTAATGGGAGATGTTAAGAAGGCTTATAAATCGGTAATAGGAACGTCTTAAAGTTGTTTTCACTGATTATTTAATCAAAGTCTGTTTTTGCAAAATCTTACCAGGTTAAGAATGTAGACACGGAGAGAGCTAAGAGGTCCACACAGTTACACAAAACTTGTGTTTTACACAGCAACTTGATACTTTCAATTTTTAAATGATTCCAAAGACGGAGAGTATGGTGAGGAAGTGTGTTTGGGGCTTTTAGGAAGAATATTCAAAGAATGGACAACTACCTCAGAAACCTGACTATAATAAAAATAATAATAAATGGTTATTGAGTCTTACAGGAAGGAATGGCAGGCACGAGCTGTGAGGGTATGAGCAAGATGAACACATACACGTACCCATTTTTGTGTAGAAGGTGCAAGTCTGCTGTTCCTTAAAGAGTTCCTTAAAGAGATGGACTTCTTATTTTAATGGAAGCATGCTATGTAGTTGCTAGCATTGAAATCATCCCAGTTGTGCATAGATACTTGATTTCATTTAGAATTAATATAAGTTTTTGTTTACTTCTTGTCAGAAATAAAGGTGGCAAGTTACTCTTCTGCAAGAAGAAACGGAATAGTTTTACTATAAATGCAACAGAAAATAGTGCTTAAAAATTCACCATGGCAATTATATACATTTGAGATGCTTTCCTGATGTAAAATGTCCCCCTGTCCATCGTTTGTTTTAATGACAAGGAGTTGCCTTCTTGAATTTTTAGTACTACTACAGACATGGAGTTTTTTTCAATAGTAATTCAGGCAAATAAGATCTTAAACTTTGTGAGTGCAAATTCACAATCAAAACTCTACTCTTCGTGTACTTCCCATAAAGTACTGATCACTATAAGAAATTAAAACAGATGACTTTTGTTTCTGCATGTATTTTATATTTTGAGACCTTTTTCATATGTTACAAAGTTTTCAAGAGTATAGATAACAGGGTACATATTTTAGTTGCATTTAGTTGCATTAAATTTGTTGGGAAATGCGTACTTTGTTTTTAATTTTTTTCTGCAATCTCAGATATGTTGGGTGTTAAGATCTAACAGCCCGTGTAATTTTTTTCACAGAAGTTGTCCATTTACTTCACTCTCCTCTAGTGTGTGGAAATTACCATATTAGTTAAATGCTTCCTTTGTGATCAAATAGACCATTACATAGTTTAGAAGACTCCATTTTCCATCTCTAATATTTCTGAAATAAAACCAAGCTTATTTAAAATAATCAGATGGAACAATAATTTAAAACTGTATAGGTGAACCTAGAAATGTTTCTTTACTGAGTAGACCTTATCACTCTCTGCAACTACGTGGAAGGAGGTTGTAGCGAGGTGGGGGTCAGTTTCTTCTGCCATGTAACAAGTGATAGGACAAGAGGAAATGGCCTCAAGTCGCCCCAGGGGAGGTTTAAATTGGATATTAGGAAAAAATTCTTCACTGAAAGGGTTGTCAAGCACTGGAAAAGGCTGCCCAGGGAAATGCTCAAGTGATCATCCCTGGAGGTGTTTAAAAGATGTGTAGGTGTGGTGCTCAGGGATAGGGTTTAGTGGTGAATCTGGCACTGCTACATTAATAGTTGGACTTGATGATCTTAAAGGTCTTTTCCAACCTAAATGACTCTATGATTGTACGATTTAATCATAACGTTTGAATGTAACTGGTAGGTAGACATGCAGCTTAACAGTGAGGATCACAAAGATGGCAGTGTAAATTTAGAATTAAATTCCTAAATGTATATGATTTGCAGATATTTTCTGTCTTTTAGGTTCTTCGCTCCCCATATGTGCCCACATATGCAAAGGAAAGGATGATGTTAGTACAAGAAGCATATTTTACTGTAAGGAGAATCTTGAAGTACAATAAACAAAAATGCGTGTCTCTTTTTGCGAAACTGTAGTACTGCAGATGATGAAAAATAGTGCTGGAGGTGGGGATGAGAAAAGGGACAAAAATACTGTGGGTTTTTTTAAGCAGTGGGTTTAAAGGACTGCTTGGGTCCTGCGTTCAGTGATAGGAATCCCACCTGTATCACCTAGCCAATACATTTCTGTAGTATATAAAACAAATATAATAAGTATATAAAACAAATATAATAAGTATATAAAATACTTATTTCATATTAACCATGGTTTTGTACTATAGATACACAAGATATTATTATATAGATAAGTAATACTTATTTTAAGTATTAAGATACTTATACATTCTATAACATAAGTATATAAAACATAAATATTTATAGTCAAATTGGTATCTGTAAAAATAGTTTTCATCCTTAAGCTGTATGTCTGTTCCACAGTACTGGTGATGTAGTGTATTTTTACGAAGTGCTGAATGGAAATGCTTAACAAATGGTATGTTACAATCTGCCATCATGTGTAGTTGTACTTGGCTGCAGTTCAGAGGTTTCCTAGCTACACCTAGTCACAGCTCCTGCATTTTCACAAATGGCTGTTGCTTAATATTGGTTGACATCTGAGCACACTTCAACAACCTGGAATCTTCTGCAGTTAAAACCTAAGGAGAGTTACATGCGGACATTGAGACCCAAGGGAATATTACCTTATTCTTGTCCTGTCTTCCTTTATCCTCAAAAATGATATTCTATGTGAGATCTGTTTCACCAAGCTGTATGCCCGTACAAAGTGGACATCCATATATGGGCTAATCACTTCAATTTGGAGAGCAGTAGGCTGTTAAAGAACCAAAATTTACATGTCTACTCAAGATAAATTGCATCCTAAAGTGCCTGTTTTTCTCTCGTGCTCAAGAAGGGAGTGTACGCTACTTGTTCTGATGGATGTCCACACTTTAGAATCTAAATAATCAGATAAATTCCCTCTTTCTGCTTTTTTTCAGGAGTTTATTGTCCATTGGGTATTTTGATCAACAAGCGTCAGTATCTGGTGGGGTTTTTTTGCACATTGCCTTTTCCTGCTGCTGAAGTTTCTGGTTTTTCTACCTTTAGTACTCTTTGAGTGAGTGACCCTGTCCCTCTGGTTCAGCTGTAGGACAAGTCAAGGAATACATGTGAAAAAACTTACTATGGCAATGTGCTGTGAGGCTTTCACTAAAATCAGAATAACGAGATGACTGAAATACAAATATAATGCATCTTATGTTGGCAGAAGAATAGAGCACTCAGGGATCAGAGGAACAATAAATGATACTTTACCTCTGAAAACATTTGAGTGTTTTTAAAGTAGGTTTTGTGTTCAGATCCCTTATTCTGTATTTATGATAGACCCTTACTGACAAAAAACCCAACATATTTATGATATATTTATGCCACTAATGTAGTTATGCCATTTTATTTTTGACATATTTATGCCACTAATGTAGTTAGTTACTTAAAAACAATGACCAAGGAGCAATTGTGACAATGCCATAGAGATAGAACTACTGACTTGAAGACAGCAACATCTCCTGAAAGATGTTAGCTGTGGAAAGGCTTTATGCCTTTAGAGATATGCAGTGGTAAACAACCTAGGCAAAACAGCTAAAAATTAATCTTATTCTGCAGTTTATGATAGTGTCTGTCAAATAGGACT